TTCCCGGGCAGCCTGTCTTGTTCCATGTCAGATGGAACCATCCCCCTCAACTCACACCAGACAGAGGGTACCTCACAGTTGTCCAAGGGCTTAGTGAGCATTTGTCTGCCGACTGCCAGGACAGCGGACACCATCAGATTCATATGATTCTCCAGGTATGGTACAGGGTGATGGCTGCCCAGCACATAGCACAAGGCCTCCCGTGAGCAGGGGACACTTCTCAGGCCTTCGAGAGCTTCGGAGAGCCCCTCATCTCCCTTCCCACTGGCTTCAGGGATTTCATCTTGGGACCTCTCACTGTGCTGCTTCTTGCCGGCTGCCCCTTCCTGGTTAAGTGCTGTTCAACTTCAGTATCCAGGCAGATGGCAACAGATGTCACTGCTCTCTGAAATCTCCCCACACTCCCCTGGACAGAGACCTCCCTCACATACCAGCTGCACAAGAGCCTTCCTGCCATCATTACAGCATTTATCACTCCAGGTTATATTCCAGAATATATATCCAGGAATATATATATTCACCCAGGCATCCAGGCTTGCGTAGTGATGGCACTCACAAACACATTGTCCAGACAAATGACTTGAATAACAATTACCACAAATGACTCTCCTTTTTCTTCTGGAGAGGGTGCAGGCAGAGGAACCCACGAGGACTTCAGCCCTTCTCTGCCCCCAGTTCACTGTGACCCAGCACCAGAGGAGTCTTTTAGAAAAAACGGTTTTCTTCAGAATTACCAAGACTGAAATGGCTTTCTGGAAACCAATGAATAAAACAATGACTCTAAGAGAGTCAAAGAGACTAGACATGAGAGACTAGGACAACAGTTTCTGTAAAGTCCCAGCTCACTTTGGTGGGGACGGAGCCACACCCAGGTTTGGCAACTGTCTTTGCATGTTCTGGGAGGGGACTGAAAAGTCTGCTCTCAATTGGTGTTATTATTTCTCTCTCTCCTGACTCACTGAACTGCTCTGGCAGAACAGTTAAGGGCCTACTCTAAAACGCCTGAGTCTTAACACACTTAAATGTCACAGCCCTCAATCTGCAAGAACATCTTTGGTGAAGTCATCATTTAACAATCTGTTCTGGCAACCCCGTTTCCGCCCCGGATCAGCCATCCGGTTGCTCAAGCCCTACTAAGCCTCCTCTGTGTGACTTCCGCCCCTTGCAGCGTCCTGTGTCGTCCAGGTATGTCTGCACTGTGGTGTGCTGCTCACATATCATCTAGACGAGCCTGGAAACTTTTCTAGGACTTTGTGTCTCCAGGGCCTAGGCAAAGCTTCGGCTCACTTCGATGGCATATAGTTCACTTGCCAAAAATATTTGAACTAAATTATATGTTTTCTCTGATTGGCCAAGTTCAGAAAGTTTTGTAACTCTCTGTGTTGGCAAGGCTGTGGGGAGAGAGGCACTCATATGTGCTGTGGTGAGAGCATACAATGAACAACCTCAGCGGAAGGCAGTGTGGCATGTCCATCAAAGCAAAAAATGCATGAACCATTGGACCCAGCAAGTTCTGTAACTGAAACAATTAGCACTTCTTGGGCATTTACGTGTGCTGAGTGCTGCTTCCAACACTGCACATATATTAACTCATTTACTCCTCACTAATCCCCTCGGAGGGGGGTGGGGTCACAGTCCGCATTTGCAGATGAGGAAGCTCAAGCAAAGAGACTTCAAATCATTTCTCCAAGATTCTCCAACCAGTAAGAACCCAGGCATCTGGTTTGGGGGTGAGCTCACCACAGTGTACCATGCTACACTACCTTCCTTTACAGTACTATCCATGGAAGTATTATCTGTAATAGCGAAAAATTAGAAACAACCTGAATATCCATCGTAAGAGAAAAGTTAAATATATTATGGTTTTTCTGTTCAAGGAAACAGCAGACAGTCATTCTCTTTTAAAAAAATAAAGTTTGACATGGAAGTGTACTGATTTGTTACAATCTCCAAGTTATAAAAATTTAAGTTAAAAACAAAAGCAGAGTGCAGGAATGTATGCTATCATTTGTGGAAAAAAATAAATTCATAATTATGCCTGCATATGCATGGTATAGCTCTGCAAGGATATCCAAGAAGAGAGAAAACAGAAAAAATAGATGGGGAAGTAGGGGGAGGGAGCGCTTTTCACTGTATACCTTTATATGCCCTTTGAATTCAGCGCCATGTATGTGGATTACTCATTTTAAAAGAAAACTTAAAAGAACTATACCTGCAAAGTGCATATGGTTGCCCAATAGAAAGCACAGAACCAGACATTTAATTCCATTACTAAATGCTCGCATCATTTTAAAGCTATTTGTTTATGTGTATTTCTCCCCTCTAGGATCCAGCTCAGAGGCTAGCACATCCTACGTAGTCCACGAATGACTGCGCGATGAATGAATAACACGAATGTTGAGTTGAATCGAGTGGAACTGATACTGGTTGAGGTTCCTCCTGCAACTCTGTGTAGGACGAGTCTGTACTTCTCTCCAGATGCCGGGCTCAGGGAGGGACAACGTTCTAGACTGAGGAGCGTCAGATGAAGGGCAAGTTTCCTGGTGAACCAACCCATGGTTCTCAACATGCACTTGTATTTTGAACTTCTCTAGGACTTGGCCTTTTAACGACAGCAGTGGTTCTCAACTGGGGGCAATTCTGCCCCCCTAGAAGACATTTGGCAATGTCTGGAGACGGTTTTGGTGGAGACATTTTGATTGGGGAGGTGCTACTGGTATTTGGTGGGTAGAAGTCAGGGATGCTAGTACATATCCAACAACACACAGGACAGCCCTCTCCTCGCCCCCGCCCGCAGCAAAGAATTATCCAGCTAGGAAGTCAAGGGCCGAGGCTGAGGAACCCTGGCTCTTGTTCATCAGCCCTGGAACATACCTAGAACTTCCATGTGTGTGTTCCCTCCTGAAAATACAGCCTGCCAGACAATCTTCCTGAGTTTCATTGTATATTTATTCTCCAGCTTATCAGCATTATTTTAAATTAAATCTCATCACTCAGGATCCCAGCCAGCTCTGTCCCATCTCCCTGCCACAGTCATTTTGAGGAGCTAAGAAATATTCAAATATTTAAGGACAAACTTTCTGGAAATCCCACAGGGTGCAGGTGGAAAGTTCAGCTGTCCCTGGGGCCAGGGGTTCTCCTGGTAGAAGGCTAGCTCACAAGGCTGTTCTTGAGAAACTGAGGGGGAAATAAAAGAGCTGCATGTTTCTCAGGAAGACATGTTCAGAAAGGACGAGGTGGCCTCGCATCAAGAAGGGCCAGCCTCACTGATGAAGAGGCCTCTGCTCCACAAGGTTCTCCTCCAGGCTTACGCAGGGGCAGTGGGAGCTGCTTCAGGATTCTCCTCCAGTCTGGGTTTCAGAGGAGAAAACACAGAGAGTCCTGGACACATATGTTGATACTCTTACAGGGAGGGGGGGATCAGGGCCACAGACTCATTGGCTCTGTCCTGGCTCAGCCGCTTAGCTGCCTGTGACTGTGGGCAAGTCACCTACCTGCTCTGCCCTTCACTTTCGTCCTCTATAAAATGGGTGAATTACAGGGTTGTTGTGAAACTCCAGTGAAGTCAATGCGGACAGTCCCCTATAACGGATCAGGTCCCAGACAAATGTTAATTATTATTCAAATCTATATCCACTAGATTTGCGGCTCATTTTTACGCTGGTGACTATGTGCTGAAGTAGGAGTCATCCCAGAATAGTGTGCCATGGGGCTGTTGGCAGGACAAGGGCCTGAGCCCTAGAAGACTGGGGTCAAGGGAGAGAAACTGCAGTTCCTAGACACTCAGGCTCATGGGAATGGGGGAATAAGAGACTGATGAGGCCCAAGCGGTGAGAGTCAGACTCAGCAATGTAGTGTTTCTGGAGTCTGAAGTGGACTGAAAATTTGGAGCAGCAATAAAATAAACAAAATTTCGGGCAGTGGATTTTTGACGGTTCCAGCTATAAAGATTGAGAGGGAAGCTGAAACAGGAATCTAGAGAGTCATTCAAGCCAGGGTACTCAAACGCCTACTTCATGGGGATCATTTATGTTTCCGACATCACGCAACAAATGTTACCTGAGTGCCTGTGGTTTGGGTTAAATTATACCCCCAAGAAGATATGTTGATATCCTGTGAATGTGACTTTATTTGGAAATAGGGTTTTTGCAGATGTAATTAGTTAAGATGAGTTCATGCTGGCTTTGGGTGGGCTTTAAATCCAATGACTAGTGTCCTTAGAATAAGGCCTTGTGAAGACAGAGACACAGGCACACAGGCAAGAAGGCTATGTGATGACAGAGACAAAGGTTGGAGTGATGTGTCTATAAGCTGCAGACCGCCAAGAACTGCCAGCAGCCACTAGAAGCTAGAAGAGAAGCCTGGAACAGAATCTCCCTCAGAGCTTCCAGAAGGAACCAGCCCTGCCAACACCTTGATTTTGGATTTCCAGCCTCTAAGACTGTGAGACAATAAATTTCTGTGATTTAAGGCACCAGGTGTGTGGTAATTCATTATGGCAAACCTAGGGGAATTATATAGCCTATCACGAGCCAACGGAGAGACAGGCAGGAACCAGTTTCTTCCCTGGAGCAGTGTCCCTAGAAGGGCAGCCATCTGGAGGGAGGGCTAGCATGAGAGTAACTGATACCCGGATATGGAGGGAGGCGGCAAGGGGCATTATTATGACTGCTATGTGTCATCCTGGGCAGGACCAAAGGCCCTGCTCCAGCCAGTGCCCCAGTACCCCAAGCAGGCTGCTCTCAGAGAGGCAGAGAGGATTCATCTGACAAGCCTCGTTCTTTTTCAAACCCCTCGGATAATTTCTCAGAGCTCTATTTTCTATGTGGTTTTTGCAAATGGATTTTGTGGTGATTTTTGTGTGTGTGTGAGGCGTTTTAGCAGCTCTGAGTGGAGAAATAAGAGAGCCCATTGATGTCAGCGTGTGTCGCTGGGGATGCCAAAGTGCTGAAACCGAGAAGAGAAATATCCTTAATTAAAGCAGAAAGTCTAGAGGTTACCTGGGTCTCTAAAATGCTGCAGTGCTGGCAGTCCAATTCCTGGGGCCTTTCCTTGCCTCCTTGGGCATGTACCTTATTCTGTTGGATAAATTCTTCCAGCCTTAAAACCTAAAACAGAAGAACAGAAACACTTGTCCATGAAACAAAGTCCTTTCTCCCAGATGTGGTCATTAATCTGAGAATCCACTCTTCTGGGTCAGTCAGCTCTGGGGACAGTGCCTCATTAGACAAATTCCAAACACGCTTCTGGAAAGGCCATTTCTAATTAGCTACTTGCCTACTCTTTCTAGAAATAGATTATAGTATTCTACACTTTCCTTTAAATTATTTACATATGTACATTTATACTAGAGCTGTAGAGTGGTTTTCATTGGCTTTCATACCATTCCTGGAAGGCCACTCTATTTCTTTCCTCTTTTTTTTTTTTTTTGAGGAAGATTGGCCTTCAGCTAACATCTGCTGTCAATCCTCCTCTTTTTGCTGAGGAACATTGGCCCTAAGCTAACATCTGTGCCCATCTTCCTCTACTTTATATGTGGGACGCCCACCACAGCATGGCTTGCCAATCGGTGCCATGTCCACACCCAGGATCCGAACCGGCAAACCCTGGGTTGCCGAAGTGGAGGGCATGAACTTAACCACTACACCTCTGGGCCAGCCCCTCTATCTCTTTTTTTTAAAAAGAATTAGTTGGTAAAGAAAAGGAACAAATATCTAAGAATTATGCCAATAAAATGAAAGAGTGGCTAGAAGATGTTATTAAATTGTACAGCCTTAAGCATGATGATGATTATTAAGCAACTAATTGTGGAGCATCAATGAAATAGACTGGCTTCCCTGCTCTGGACTCTGAGAACAAGGCCAATGACCATAAAGGAAACTCAGACATTGCTAACGAACCTGTGTGGAAAACCTAATACTCTTTAGGGGATGAGGAGAGAGGGGAAAGGGAGAGAGGAAGAGCAAGATGGTAAGATAATAAAGGTCCTTGCCTTCGAGGAGCTGTCATCTTACAGAAGACATAGATATATGTTTATAAGCAACATTTAGTAGACATATGTACAAAATAATAATAGCACCATTAATGGTGTGTTTGCTTGGTGCCAGGCATAGACCTAACTGAGCATTTTACGGTATTAACTCTTTTTAATCCTCACTACCACTACTATGAGAAAGGTACTACCGCAGAGAATTTACAGCAATAAACTCTGCCCAGGGGAGTCCAAGGCAGCTATAGGGGCACTGAAGGATGAATAGGAGTCCGTCAGTGGCAAGGGCAGGAAAAGGCATTCCAGGCAGCAGGAACAGCAGGTGCAATGGTGGAGGAGGGTAGGACGTGTGTGAGGTCTGAAGGAAGGTTCCATCTTGGGGGGCCCAACATGAAGGTGTGGACAGAACAGGGCAGAGTCCTGGGAGGTAGCGGTGGCAAGTTAGGTTGGGGCCAAATTGTGAAAAATATGAGAATTAAAGATTTTAGGGAAGGAGGAGCATGGCCTTGAGCAGATTTGGGTTTGAGAATGCTAGTTCTGGAATTAGCTGGCTTAGGGACAAGGTGGAGGCAGGAAGATATAAGACAAGGCTCTTGCAAGACTCTAGGCGACACCACAGAAGAAGGGCTTCATCAGAATGTCTTCTCAGCTTTACAAAATGAATATTTAAGAAGAAACATTTAAAGATTATGAAACCACTTACATTGCATCGTGCTAAGGCTTATGAAATATTCAAATGAGGCCTGTGCAATTGTTTAGGTAACAACTATAAGTAGGTAAAAAAAAGAGAAGAGTCTAGGTGAGCCATTCTGAGGGTCTTGACCAAGGCAATGGGATAAAGAGAAGAGACGGAACCCAGAGGTTTAACTGTTAGGACCCACAGGACTTGACGACTGATTGGATGCGGTGGTGAGGCAGGGTGGGGACTCTGGGTGAGGATGGGAGAGCAGGAGGGGAGGGTGTGGTTAAGGGTAACTCTTGCATTCCTAACTTTGGTAAGCAGGAGGATGGATAATCACACCATTAAGGCAGCAGAAGTAATGGAGGAGGAAGAGCAGGCCTGAGGCACTTTGTCCATGGTCAACCTCTGGGTCATGCCAAACCGTCTGTAGACGCTCTGCTCCTGAATGATCACTCAGGTCCTGAATGACCCTTAGTCATCAAAGAGGCAGCATGCTGTACTAGAGGCAGCACTAGCACAGCAGTTAGGAGTGGGGTCTTTAGAACTGCATCAGCTGGGTTTGGATCCCGGATCTGCTACCTATTACTTCTGTGATTTTGAGGAAGTGATTTACCTTCTCTGAGCCTCAGTTTTCTCATTTGTAAACCAGAGACAATAATAGTACCTACCTTATACGGTAGGTGAGGATTAAAAGCTATTACATGTAAACTGCTTAGACAGTATCTTAACTAGCATAAGTGCTCAACAAAGGCTCACCACTCATTTGTAGAGAGGCGTTCTAAGGGGCATTCAGAGACATAGTCAGGTGATGGCCCAGGTGTCTCAAGTCAGAAGAACAACTGAGCTGGTCCCACACACAGATGTGGAGCCTCCCTAAGTGGACCAGGTCCAACATGAAGATTGGCAGCACGGCTTAACACGGGGGGAGAAACGAGGGCAAGTAGGGAGAGTGGGAGGGAGGGATGGAGAAGGGGGCTTCTTTGCTGTGCAGCCCACTTTGGGCTGAGACGGACAGAAGCCTCAACAGCAGAGACTTTCCATTGAGACCTCCCCTCTAGAGCCCCTGATATATCAAGTCTAATGCACAGCATGCTCACATTTTTTTAAAAAAAATGAAAAACGATTAAAGAAAAACATAATGTGGATACTCATCACTCAGCTGAAGAAAGAAGACACCACAAATACATTTGCAGCCCCTATGGTTCTCCCTGATCCACTGACCTTGCTCCCTTCCAGAAACAGCCACCGGTTCAAATTTGGTTGTATCCTACTCATGTATGTGTCTAGACTGAACTCCATTATATGTATTCTGAAACAATCAACACCGTCTTGCACATGGCCTCTGTGTTTTTCAAAGTTCCCCAGGAAGCTCTGATGTTTGGCCAGGGCTGAGGAACCAATTTCATGGGCTCCTGAGGGCGTGGGAGATGGAGGGCTCACCTGGAGGGTGACGGAGGGCCGGAGAAGCAAGGAAGCCTCTTTACATATTTTTGGTCTAATCAGGCTCAAGAATGAACCCTGGTTCCAGCCTCTTCCACTAGTTCTTCTCCCCAGTAACATGGTCAACAGCTCTTTTAAACCTTTTTTCTCTTTTTTTGAGGAAGATTAGCCCTGAGCTAACTACTGCCAGTCCTTCTCTCTCTCTCTCTTTTTTTTTTTTTTTGCTGAGGAAGACTGGCCCTGAGCTAACATCCATGCCCATCTTCCTCTACTTTATATGTGGGACACCTACCACAGCATGGGTTCCAAGTGGTGTCATATCCGCACCCAGGATTCGAACCAGGCAACCCCGGGCTGCCAAGATGCGGAATATGCGAACTTAACCGATATCTGTGTGATCTAGACAGGTGGGCCCATGTAGCAAAATCGGCTGTTTGGCTGGTCCACATCCACTCCCTACCCCTTCCTCCCTTGCCTGCCTCCACCGTGGAGGCCTGACAGCTAAATCCTTGCCTTCTCAGGCTGACACAGATATTCCCAATGGGAGTAGGAGTCAGCTGGGGTTTCTGTGAATGCTTTTGATTTCCTGATGAAGTGGGCTGACCTGGTCAGCACTGCCCCTCCCTGGTTTAAATCTGGACGTGACAACCGGAGTGGGCGATAGACATTTTCAAAGCCTGGGGGAAATCTGAGCTGACTTCTCCATTAGATGCAGCAGGCACAGTGCCTAGGGCTCACAATACTTTTAGGGTCATGAAAATGTTATAATTTCTTTTAAAATCATAAGGAAAAAAATACAGCCTGGCTACGTTCATTTTTATACCAATGCAGTCATAAAATATAATTTTTAATATTTTTTTCTGATAAAGGAAACAGCCTGCTAAGGCAAAATTGTCTAACGCCCACAAAAGGGAGAAGCAGCCCGGGAGAAACTGAGACCAAGAGAATCGCAGATTTCCCAGGCCTGACATCTTTCAGCCACAGAATCAACACCAGCAGCCTCCCGCCTCCTTCTTTCATGTGAGACATTAAACGCCTCTTTGTTAAACCTCCATAAATCAGGCTCTCTGTTACTTGCAGCTAAATTTATGTCTCCAGAGACAGGCTTCTTGTCGGGCTGAAGTCCTTTTTCTCTCCAAGGATGCTGAACGTAAGGAGGTCAGGGCAGTTTCCTGAGATTCTTGGCACCTCAGCTAATCAGAAACTGCCAGGGCCCAGAGCCATCGCCCCCGAGCACTGTGTTGATGGGGGACGTACCTCAAGCAGAGAATTCTGGAGCTTCACATTTAGGGCTTCTTTCTCTTCTTCCAGCTGCTTTATTTCATTCTCTGATTTCTTCTTCATTTCCTCCAGCTGTGCTTCCACTTCCTAAATGATGATTAGAAGAGTCAGCCACACAAGGCATGAAAACATGGACAGGACGCTTACGTACTCGCACCCTGCCTTATTCTCAAAGAGGTTCAAAGAAACTTACAAGAGGCAGAAAGTACCGTAAGAAAGGTCACGAGAAGGTCAAAAGAAAATGCGTTAAATTCACATCCCGAAGTCTGATATATATTGGCGGGTGTGGGGGCAGGGTGGACCCCAGCTTTAAGTTTTGTAGTGTCAAGTAAGAAAAGGGAATGCTCATCACTGACACAATTCTCAGTGTCATATAAAAGTCAAAAAGCCAACTACATTCTCAGATGCAGGGAAATACTAAAAGCAGAAAGAAGTTTCTCCTGTGGTTTTCTCAAAAGCATCTGTACTTTAGTCAAAATGATGAGGTTCACAGGGCTGCTTCCTCCATGGTCCCCCCACAGCCTGACAGCCTCAGCACAAAGCAGATCCAGACAAAGGAACATTCTGGGGACCACATGAATGGCGCAGCCTTTTAGCTGTGTGATTTTCAGTACATTTCCTAATCTCTCTGTGACTCATTGTGCTACTTACATGCCTAGCACAGTTCCGGGTACGTACTAAGGGATCAATAAATGACAAGTACTACTGTTATCCTTATAGATGCCTAGCCTTTCTGATCTAACTTAATTTCTGGGGAAATTTTGCAAGTGTCTAAAGGAGTGCATGATATATTCTGTTCCTTTTAGCTGAACTTGAGGTAGATAATGGCTTATTCATTCAATAAATATTTATTGAGACCTACCATGTGCCAAGTACTGTTCTCAGAGCTTGAGATAAAAATAGAGACAAAAGCTCCAATCACCAGGAGCTCACATTTGCATAAAGGAGACAGGCAAAAAAGTCAACAGGTATAATGCAGTATAAACTATGTGGGATGGTGACAAGTGCCAAGCAGACATAATAGAGTGGGAAAGGGGGCTATGGAGTGTTAAGGGGGTTGGGTTAAAAGTCTACATAGGTTAGCCAGAGAAGTCCTCGGAGAAAGTGACTTTCAAGTAAAGACCTGGATTAAGTGGGGGCTAGCCAAGTAGACATCTTGGTGCGAGCATTCCAGGCCTTGGCATGTTCTAATGACAGGGACGAGGCCACTGTGGCTGGACTGGAGTAAACGAGTGGGAGAATGGTGGAGATGAGGTTAGAGGGACATGAGGGAGATCATATAAAGCCACATATGTTATGGTAAAGACTGAAAAGTAAGATGAAGGCCAATCAACAGTTGGGAAGTGATGTGATCCAACTTACATTTTAACAAGGTTACTCGGGTTTTTGTCTTGAGGACAGACTGAATGGGGGATGGGGCAAGAGGGGCAACAGGCAGGCTAATGAGGAGGCCACTGCAATAAGGAGGTGAAGGTGCTGGACTGACGGAGCAGTGTGGGTGGCCATGAGTGGTAGAATGCTGGATAGATCTTGAATGCAGACTGCCAGGACTTGCTGAAAAGGGAGGCATCAAGGACGACACCGGGTTCCTAACCTGAGCAGGGGGAGAACTGTGCTACCATTCACTGAGACGAGGAAGACAGAAGAAGAAGAAGCAGGTTTGGGGACAGTATTGTTTGGGACATGTTGGGTTTGAGACCTCCGTTAGACATCTAAGTAGGCAGCCGGATATTTGGTCTGGAATTTAGGGGAGAGTTCTGGATTGGAGATTTACATTTGGGAGTCATCAGTATACAGAATGGATTAGGCCATGTGTTCGGATGAGAAAAGCTAGAGAGAATATGAAGGAAAATAGGGGAGATTCAAGAAGTGACGCCTGGGACACTCCAGCATTTGCTGTCAATGTGAGGTTATAGTATCTGACAGTGATTTGGAATGTAGGTCTTCTGTGCTGTCAATTGATTATGGACCTTTACGCTCTAATTGAGAGTAGATGGACATAATAATAGCAACTGACATGTGCTGGGTACTTTACACAGATCATCTCTTTGATTCTTATGAAAACCCTATGACCTAGGTACTACTGTTAAAGCTCACTATATAGATGAATAAATGAAGCTTAAAGAGGTTAAATGACTTGCTCAAGCTCAAGCAGCCAGGAAGTGAAGAAGTCAAGATTTGAACTCAGGAAGGCTGACTGCTTGGCCTTGCTTCTTCTCTGCTTTCTAAGGAAAATGTGGCACCTAGTACAGACAAATGCCTGACCGAAAGGTCTTCCCACTTCTGTCATAGCAAAGCTGAGGGATTCCCTGTGGCTAGGCCCCACATGCTTCCAAAAGCAGGGTGGAGAAGCTGGAAGTCTAGTCTTCAGGCACTGAAACCCTGTTCTGTTTCCAAGGAGTGAGGTGCACTAGAACTAACATATGGAAATGTGGGGGGCAAAGGCTTATGTGACAGGGGCTGATCTGGGGTCAAAAGGAAACCTATCATTCATCCATTCAACCAACCAATATTAACTGAATATCTACTATATGCCAAGTATGTAAGGGGCTAGGGATATAGTCAGTGTGTGCTGGTAAATGTTTAACAATTGGCTTTCCAAAAATAAATAAAGAAATAGAAATAATCAGTTTGTAGCATTTGTTGATTTCCATGGTGTAAGTACTCCTGATGTGGTTGATTTCAAGCTATTACAATGATGTCACCGAATATGGAGCTGGGAAGAGATGTGACAACTGCCCTTCAGGAGTCGGTACAAGTTGGCTCCAATACACCCAGGGATGCAGTAGTGAACAAGGCATGCCAGTGTGGAAAACATGCAGTGATTAGGTAATTACTATGAAGCACAGTAGGAGCTATGCTAAGGTAGTTATAGGGAGTGCCATGTCCCAGACAATGGCATCAGTAGGCCAAGCAAGGAAAGCTTGTGGGAAGACTGATATATAAACCAAGACTAATAAGATCAGTAAAAACTAGACAGAACTAGATATGTGAGTTTGGCAGTGGTTGAGGGGAGAGTGTTTCCCATCAAGGGAAAGCTATGTATTAAGGCCAAGAAGGAAAACAAGGTGGAATGAATGATGAAATAAAAGACTGGAGGGCAGAGTTAGATGGGGGAGAGATGTGGGATGTAGCATGAGAACCAAAGAGGAGTCAAACCATCTAGGGTCTTATAAACCATGTTAAGGAATTTGAACTACACTGTAAAGATGATAGGGGGCCTTTGGGGAGTTTGAAGCCAATGTTGAGTTTTCAAAGATGGCCCTGGAATGGAGACTGGATTAGATGAAGTGGGGAGATGAAAGGCAGGAAGATCAGTTAGGAGATCAATGCACAGTCCATCAAGAAGTGGTGGGTGACTGAATGAGCGTGGTACCCACTGAGGATAGAGGGAAGTGGAGATGTTCCAGGGTCACTGAAGAAGTAGAATGAATTGGCTCGATGGTTGATTGAGTGTGAGGGATGAAAGAGAAGTCAGGTTGGACTCCTGAGTTTCTGACTTGAGCATCTAAAAAGGTGCTGCTACTGATTACCTGATGACATCTTTACACTTTCTGTGGGGTCAAGTCTATGCCAGGCCAGTCACCCTTGAGTGGACTTTAGCATTGTCCCTGAGGTCAGACACTTAGAAGAAAAGTGGGATGTGATTAGATTGTAAGAGTCACATGACATGAACACTTAGCACAAGTATACAGTCACGTGTCGCTCTGTGACAGGCATGCATTCTGAGAAATGCATCATTAGGCAATTTCGTCATTGTGCTAACATCATAGAGTGTACTTACAAAAAACTTGACAGTATAGCCTACTACATACCTAGGCTATATGGTACAAATCTTATGGGGCTATCATTGTATATGCAGTCCATTGTTGACCGAAATGTCATGCAGCACATGACTGTAGTCTCTTCAGTAAATTTATGATCCCCTTTTGCAGGGCTTGCTGTTTTGGGGAGTTCATTTTCTAAAGACAATATATAAATTATCCTTTTGTTCCAAACAAATTGAGATGACTTAAGCAACCATCAGAAACAAGGCCATCCCCTCAGCAAAACTTCTGATTTTTTATTTCATTAAGTAACTTCTCATTCACTGAAGCTTTCATTGAACAAGAGTTTTGTTTAACATTCTTCCTGGTACGGACACTAACTCTGTTAAGGCATGCTCACTGTAATAGAAAAGTGAAAACCCCCTGAGAGAAAGATTCTCAGCAAAAAGCAATGGCTATTTCTAATTTTACACAGCCTAACTTTCTAACTTCTAACAGCCTACATATAATCAATCACAGCTTCAGCTGTTGCCTTGACAAATGGACCCAAAGAGAAAAAATTTCCCCACAGATGGAAATAACTGATTTCAGCAGTAATTTTTGGCACTAGTAAGCTTCATTTTAGGTGCAGAATAATGTGGTTTACTGTCAGAAAACAAATAGCTCTGAATCACCTGGAGAACACAGGTTAGAAGGAAGCATGCCCAGGTCCAGCTCAGTCCAAAGCTACCTCGAGGATTTCAACAGGAAGCATTAACATTTTCATAACTCAGCAGAAGAGAAAAAACAACTACAAAGACAAGAACATGAGGAAAAAGGAGACTAATGCTTTCAAATATATAAATTGCTGCATCGCATACCTAGAAGAGGGTTCTGTGGGCCATTAATTTACAGAATTCACAGGGTACTTTCATAAAGTCTGTTCTTACTGATCTCAGAGCGTTCAGGGAAACAGGCTTTATTGCATCCATTTCACACTGAGGAATTCCTACAACTGATAAGAGGCAAAAGCAGAACTCACATCTGTTTCCTACTTCCTGGTCTAGACTGCCCACAATTACAAGTGATTTAAGAAAAGATACACGAAGGAGACACTGTGATGGGAACCACAAAGGAGCAACCACAGAAAATTACCAAGCAGAGATTCCAGCTGGTGTTTTAAAAGTAAACATGTTAACTTTTTTCAAAAAGCTAACATAGTATTTGAATGTATTTTCAGTAAAGTTTATGGTGCAGCAGAAAGAGTCAACCAGTACAAAGCCTAAAATGTCACTCAGAGTCAATGATCAGCAATAATACCAACACCAATGAAGACCCCAT